CATCATCGACAGAGGTTCGGTCATTTTTAAAACGTGAATGCCACACCAAAGTTTGCGGACTCCCCAAATGCTTGCTTTAGGATTTCATAGGTTTCCGTAGCCGTTTTGGCGAGTCTTTGGCCAAATTTGATGCACACGCCATTCCGAAATCGCAGGAGGGTCGGTGTAATGCACTACCAAAACGCCCGTAACTAAGAAACAAATGCTAATTCGATGATGCCGGCTGGCACACTGATTCACTATGAATGTAGGCCGCACCCCCTAGCGGCAGACGCTCGTACTACATCCGGTTCGCCCGCTATTGACACAGTCTTGAAACTTTCCGATCTCACCTCGTATGATAAAGAAGATTCAGAAACGAAAGTTCTGTTTATTATTCTCAATGCCAATTATAGTTTCGGGGATATTTTAACCCTATTTAACATACGCTCTCAAATCTTAGAGTGGGAAACCATGCACGGATATTCCCGTGAATTTTCGAAGTTCGATCTCCATTACAAATTTCGGCCAATAAAATCGGCGACCCTACAAATAATATTAAATTTCCCATGTTTATTAACATCTATTTACCCAAATCTGCATATCAAATAGGGAGTCCCTTGTGCCCTTGATTCCGCTAACCGAATTCTTCTCATAAAATGTTGATTCCTTCACTATTCGGAAGATGGCGAGGTTGTTACGAACCAGCGAAACGATGCAGTACACCAATTCTGTTCACTATATCGACCAGTTTTTGTAATATGGTAATAGTTAAATCCAGAACTTCTACGAACAACAGGTAACAGCATCAATTGTATCCATCTAGGTTTGCTGCGCCGTGTTGTCTGGCAGAAATTTACCGACGTTACAAACGTACATGCTGTCGTCATCATCAGGGCTATAAGTTTACGCGCCGCAGCGTAGAACCTCAAATAACATCGAATTTATTCTGGTTTTATACCTGTAGGTTTTATTTTATTTTTAAATAAAATTAACTGTGCTTATGAGGGCTGTTATTATTGCCAAACGTAAAGAAGAATGATTAAATTTACAGAAACACATCGTGAATTTCATCTTTTGCGAAGAGAGGGTACGTTCAAGGTGTTCAAATTTTTAAGCACTTCTTTCTACCGTGAATCAAACCAGCGGGAAATTTAATGATGGAGGTGTGAATAATATTTTAGTTAATCACCGAAATGCTGAATAGATATTTTCTTTGCGGTACAGACTGAATTCTTAAACATTACGAGCATCTGCTTTACTGGGTTGAAACAGATGTCACTACGAAGAAAATTGTAATATATACATGGGCTGTAACATTTGCATCATTAATTTTATCATCTGAAATGATGGATCCTGTTTGTCCGAATTCGACATAAAGTTTCAATGTCGTTACGTTTAGTTCAAAAATATTTATCGTCAAATGATTTGTGTTATAGGTTAACATGAAACTAAAAGATACACTGTAAGATTTTTAAGGGTTTGTTACACTTCAACTCTAGATTTATATTAAAAGAAATTTATTTACTTGTAGGTTTGAAGGTTTTTAGGTTATTTTAACAGGATATCTTCTGATTTATATTAATAATTATTATACATGAAATAAGACTGACTGCTGATATTCATGAAATTATATGCCATAAACTACACTCTCTTGGAACGCTTGCTCTCAATAAGTTCAGTGAAGAAGATGGAATAAAAAGAACACGCAATTGTCTTATTGTAAATTTTATTGTTTAATTCGTGTTATTTAATGATATAAAAACATTCGCTCAATAATATATTTTTTAAAAATAATCGGATATATGGTAGTCCACTACAGCCGCTCAGTGATAATAACTCCTTGATAAGCACTTGATTCTTCTTCGGGTGTTAACGGCATGTAGCTACTGAAAACTAGAGAATGCTGCTATTACTGAATAATCGATGGCGTGCTGAATGTTGCTTATTTACTTAATTAGACTGCGAATACACTGAAAAACACTCCAAAGATTTTTGCCTGACTCCAGTATCAAGAAGATGAATAAAGTTGAAATTTATAATTTGTAGCGGACAAGAACATGATTATGTGTACGTCACTGATTAAAAATTGTTGCAGAGTCAAACCGACATTCAAACTAGTGTCGTAGTCAGTTACATATAGCTCTTGACTCTAAATGGCTACTTAAAATTCTTTCATTTATATTCCTTAAAATGCATGTTCCAGTAAAATTCGTTGCTGATCGACCTTGAACCATAATGTTCAAACTGACTTTAAGCAAAAGTCTAATTGCGACAGGTGGGACTACATCCACTTCACAGCAAGTCACTTCCAATCAGTGTCAAAACAAAGATTTTCAGGCACTGAAGTTCCTCGCACAATTGTGTCTGATAAACACTTGGGTAATACGCTCCAAACACCACATAAAGTTACAATTTTGAAGTAAAGTAACGCAAAGTAAAGCTGTCCCACTATGCGCCATGTAGTTGCTTGGGGGGAGAGGTGGTATAGCTCCTACTCATTTTTCACCTAGGCACTAGGCGGGGGTTAGTGGTAAGCATCACGCTACGGCCGCGCTTTACCCCTGGGAAAGGACACCGATACCCAATAAGAGGATGTGTGGACCCTAGACCCGGTATAGGCGCAGAGGTTTTAGCAAAATTCCCCAGCCCCCGTCGGTGATCGAACCCCGGACGATCAGTCCGCAGCCAGTAAGTATACTGGCTGAGTTACGCCGTCACAATTTTGAAGAGAAACTAAAATAAATTCAAATTAACGAAATAATAACAAAATATATCGTATGGTCAATTTTATCTCAGAAAAACATTTAATTTGTATTGTTAGACCACTTACAGTCAAATTTGTAAGTTTTGTTTCGCTATTTATCATAATAAAAGCATTCATAAATTATGAATTAAAAAGCTTAATGATAAAGACCCCGTCCCTAACCCCTTCACACATTTAACCGAGCTGTGGTTAGACCCTTGCCCTAACTACTCCGTAACTTTCATTCCGTCATCGCCAAATTTTCGAAAGAAAGACGAGACCACTGAAACGTCGGCAGACTTCTAGGAGGTTATATGGAACAAGAACACAGGAGAGAGTTATCTTCATAATCCTCGCAGTGAGAACCTGAAATTTATTACTCTTGAAGTGAGTGGAGCTGAATAAGGCAATAAAATGTAAGTCAATAGATATATATAAAATAAAATAGAATAGTCAGACAAAAAACTAATCACAATCGTCGCTGAACTAAAAAGGTAATACTGAACGAATTTATGGAATTGAATTAGCTGTTCAGGCTTCAGAATAATGACCATCCGAGTGTGTGGTTTTAGGAATGCTAATTTCCATAGGAATTACAATTATAATTAATTTAAAATTTATTGAATCTACATTGCCTCTGAGAAGAGAATGTCTATTTATCATCAATGGATATAATGAGCCGGCGTAGCTCATTATATCAGTGACTGGACACCCATTGTTCGATCTCCGACGGGGGTAGATGATTTTTCCTGTACCGTAGACACCGGTTCTGGGGTACGAACCTGCCTCCATTCCCATGAGAAGCGGGGTCTTTTGCCAGTGGTAAATCGCGGCCAGGGCGTGACGCTGATCACTCACCACCATCTAGTGTACAGTTTACGAAAGAGTAGGAGCTATATACCACCTCCCAACCCCAATGCGACCTACACGGCGTATAGTGGGACAGCTTTGCTTTTGCGTGATGGAAATTGTCCTCAGTAACTTCTTCTCTGGGAGCCACAGAGTTCTTCGTCGATCGACCTTGAGGCACGCACGGGGACATTCTGGAATGTTTGCAAGCAGTGGGCACCACTTCATTCGTTAATCATATGAAACTGCTCGATATGTGGAAATTCTTTCTTCACTTCTTCCCTTCTCCTCTGCAACTCTTCTGCCTTAGTTAACAGCATCTCTTTCTCACCGGTAGAAAGGCTGTTTCCAACACTTATCACATCGACTAACGCCATTAAACATTCATCGTATATTTCCTTTCCCTGAAAACAATTACACAACATATAAGCTAAGTATATAAAAGAATTTGCAATATTCAGAATCCTTAGATTAAAAAGTAGTTATGATTTGAAGCATGAAGTGTTTAAGTTGGTAAAGCCAATGAACCGTACAATAACATACCTTTCACCTCGTAATCTTAAAAATTATGAACTATCGGCCGCATGACACACACAAAGCGATATGAAAAATAGAGTCGTTAATCGAACACGATATTGACTAACCAAGGAGTTGGCACCCTTTGTGTCTGGCATACCACCAATTCTAATTTAACACATTAAATGTATCACTGACCAAATATGTTTGGGAGAAACTAATTTATGTTAATATCATATTTTGATTTTCTTACTTAGTTTGCGTACCATTCAACATTGGCTAGGGTACCACTAATTTTACGCGTGTCAGAAGTTGAATAACGCTCGACTAAGCCATAAGTAACGTACGGGAGTTATGGGTCAACCTATATTCTGGCGTTCTTAAGACAATTACAGTTAGGCACGGTAATTAGTTACCGGTCATGTGTTATAAAACAGTAAAATGACTCAATAAGCAACATTTACTAATGTTTCAAATGATGTAAAATTTCAAATCTCTTTGAATGATCACACAACCGGAAAAATAGAAGAATTTAGGTTAAACCGGCCGGTGGGGGAGGGGCGACTAGTGGACACTGATATTCAGTTTTTCAGCTGATGACTGAGCTAAAAGACCTGAATTGCCTGGAAAACTTTGTTATGCCCATATTTTATGACATATGGGGTTCGATCTAGTTGATAAATATTGCAGTCCCAACACATTATTAGACCTGAGTATTTTGTTTATACCACAGTAAATAACTGTTTTACACAAAGTGACATACTGATCCGCAAATAAGTGTGACTCAGTACACTTCTACAGACATTCTGTAACAATAAAGCCAACTTCTAACAAATTAGCCGTAGAGGAAGCAGTTATCATTTAGAAGTACAGGAACATAACGCTGATTCATGAATCCGTCTGAAAAGGCGTCATGCCAACACAAAATTATTTAAAACGCATTTTGACCATGGGGGTGAGGAGAGATTATACTCACATTTTTTTTCTGACGGAATAGAACTTCAGCCACTTCATGCCCTGTCGGTGTTTCTCTTTCGAAACTGAAGATAATATGGCAACCCGTTCTTCCAAATCCCAAATAAATAAATGTTCTCTTTGTCTGAAAGCGTTTGGACCAACACATGCAGCTCCGATTTTCACAACTGAAACTCTTCTCTGCGAGACCTATATCAAATAGAATTTGCTGTTCAAGACCATCAGTACGTTGTCTGATTTTCTTCTCGAAGGCAAGTAATTTGGGAAGATTTCGCCCACCCATATTACGGAACATGGCATTTAAGCTTTGATTCTGAGCAGAACTTTTTAAATCTGGTTTCTAACTGACGCTTGGTTCCTTCGTAAATGCTCAATTAGTGACGAATACAAGAGAGGATAACGAACATAATAGAAAAAGTGAATAAAGCTGGACAATTAGAAATCCAACTACAAGAAACGGAAGTTTCCAATTTTCTCTCGTCACCAAATATTATTAGGGAGATTAAATAAATTGAAATGACTTAGCTAGGACATTCATAATGCTTATTCAGATGACGAGTAATCTACACAAAGCTTCAGTATAGAGACGGGAGAATAATATTGAAATGTATCTTGAATAAAGATCGAGTAGAATGAATGCAGGTTTTTTCAAATTAGGGTATAGAGACGCAAAAATATGATAAAATTCCTGCGGAGGCAATGAACAAAGCATTGTTACGAAGTTTCGTAGCAACACACTGATTTTCCAAATAAAGATAAAGATGAAATGCAGTCGTCTTTGCCGTTTTAAACACAAATATTCGCTCGTTTTGACATTAGTCGCGATGGGGATTTGTGACTTACCATCCGCAATTCGCATCACTGGCATCTTGTCCTGAGAACTTATGGTGTGGTCAAATCGGTGTGTTCTGTAACTTCTATTTCCTTTGCATTAGGTGTGCGTAAGGTCCATTTCATCGCCATTTTATCGAGTCTTAATTGTAGCAATAATTGATTAACTGCATTCATTGTTATCGGGACACCCACTTACATTCACTGAAAATCGTACACACGGCACGACACACTAACACACACACACACACGCGAAAACACGAAAACACAAACACATGATCAAACACACACCAATACGCAAACACAAACGCAAACAAATTTGCAATCACATTGACACTGATTTCTCTTAAATAACTGTGCTGAACCCATCTCCATATCATTGTGTTTTTTTCGCGTTTTTCTTTACTTTGATTTCTGTTTGCTTCGACATTATCCATATTAAGGACACTCAAATTTCGAGTATCACTACTGATCTTGTGCTTAACCGAGCAACCGATTGAAATCTGACAATAAACAAAGTTACAATAGCATCGAGTAAATAACTAAACGTTTATTTGTTGCGTGTCATTTGAACAATGCAAATGATATACGGAGAAATAGGGCTGTCCAAGTCCGTCCCTCTACCTGTCTGGTGTAATATTAATATTTCAACATAGACATATAATGAAAAGTAACAAAACGGCGAAAGTGCGAGAGAACAAATATTACTTGAACACGATTAGGTTCCAAGCATTATCACAGACCAAAAGTGTTTTGGGCCTGGTGATAACTCATTTTCATTAATTAAAGGAAGCATCAAGAACTCGTGATTTGTATTGAGCCAGATAAGAGCTGATCAACTAGTGGACACATTTCACTGCAGATGCTTATGAAAGTCTGTTGCATCGTTTCTTTCTTTAAGGCATGTGATATTTGTCCTAGAAGCCTGGGTTTCACAGTTGCTTTAAATAAATGTGGAACTCACTATTCACTTCAGATGGGAGATAATAGGAACGTGTTATATGCCCAATAGGATTACAGTTTATAACGACGGTACGAGGATGGCTGTCTTTTGGGTTGTACCGCCGTGTAGTCTGGTTTCAGAGGTCCATGCTGCCTCCATCGTCAAAGCGATGGACCATTTAAATTTCCACTTGTAGAAGTATTTACTGTGTTTTACGAGACGAGGGAAGGTCAGATACAGGACTCGCATTTGCCTTTACAATTTCAGGAAATTTGGCTGCAGACCGTTCAGTTAAGTATTTTAATCTAGCATCTGAATTATAATTCTCATGAGGGGACTTCAGCAGAACACTGGAGATAAATGTTTTAAATTAGGGGAAGTCGAAGAAATGTTTCGGTAGATTCGATCAAGTTTTTCGGTTGCAAATGCTGTGGATTGGCAACGTTAAATTTATCAGTAAACAGCACGTCTACATTGACCGCCACTAAGGAACAACGTTAACAGGAACTCCTGAAATTACTTTTAGACCTTGCGCGCACGAGCGGTTTGGGCCGCAGCGGTTTTTCTGCCGCATTGATGGAACGCAATCTTTCAGAAAGACGCGATGCGCACGTGCGGTAGTTTTACCGCTGCGGTTCTTCTGCCTCAACATGATTCATTTTCGATACGGTGCAGTGGCCGCACAGCGGCTGGCGGTGGCAATGAAACACAAGGAACCCTACGTATGTGAGCGCACGAACGGCGAAACAGCTGCACGGCGACCATTGTTTGCCCGATCTTGGAGAAAATGCCGGCACTGTACAGTTCGACCATATCGGAGTATATCGGAGAACAATGATAAAAACAAAAGAGAAAGTGTGTATAGAAGTCTGTGAAGCTCTAATGCCGAATTGGAGCCAACTTGACAAAAAAAGTGATAGTGGAACCACGGTTCCGGAGAATTTGACGTAAATACGTCTATACGGAAAGGAAGTTTACATATTGGCTTTATTCTAAATATTTCCTTTATAC